GGCCACACAACAAACATTCCCCTAGCAGAGGCCTCCTGTGGTGTGTGTGTGTGTGTGTGGGTGTGTGTGTGTGGGTTTGATGCAAAAGATCCAGTGCACGGAAAGACCCAGCAAATATTATTACTGGGTCTTTGGGAAGTACCACACGTATCTCCAAGCTGTGCTCGGGACACACATCGGCAATCGAGGCGTTGTTGGTCCGCCTCCTGGCGCGGGAGGCGCCCGAGTCCGAGCCGCGGCCCCATGCCCAAAGCTTCCAATGTGTTCTACAACCCTCCTACGGGTGCTTTCCTCTTGGTTTCGCTTTGAAGCAACAAACAAATGGCTGTATACCCCGCGAAAAATTGACAGGTGTGTCAAGATGGGACCACACAAATGAGTGGGATTTCCATTGGTTCCCGACGGTGAACAGTGTAGCTGCTGTACACAAAGAAGAAAGAAGCAGAAAAAGCACAGAGATGAAACCAGAACGCTGAAGGAGGCCATCTAGCAGATCGTTTCGGGTCAATTTCTTGGTCCATTTGCTCACATGAAGGGAGAGGAATGCATCACCCATCCAGCAGGTTTGGTAGAGCTCATTCTTTTAGCCTTTGGCGACGGACGAAATGGACTGCAACTAGGTTGAATCTGTTGACAGAGGTTCGTGCATTCCAGCAGTGACAGAACAAACATGGCAGGTCCAAAATCAGTCCCGCTAATGATTTCAGGGTTCACGCAACATGCGCGAAACCTGAGAAGCACAAACCTGAAGGAGGAAGCTTTGAAGCTATCTAGTTTTCTTCGTTTCTGCGTGTATTTTAGCTCACTGAAACCGTCAGAGGCACGGCCTTTCCTTCTCCGAGCTGCTGGGGGTGAGGCTGGGATTTGTCAGCGCCCGTCAACGGAGCGGAACGAAGATTCCTTTTGTTCCGTTCAAGTTTCCCGTGAACCTTGGCCCTGTTGGAGTTTTCTTTGCACAAAGTACTTGTCAGGCGTGAATGCATGTGAGCAGTTCGCCTGTGGAACTTCCTCCTCAGAATGGACCCGGCAGAAATTGGGCGCTTTGGCAAGACATTCCTGATTCAGGTCAAGGAGTTTCCAAGCACGTTTGCTTGTTATCAGTCGCTTGCGTGCTTTGTTTGGGGGCAGCTAGCATGTGGCTGTTGGCAACGCTTTCCCCGTGAAGTTTGATTTGAGAAGAGTCACATTCTCAGCAGCTACTTCCCAAGATCTTTCCACACAAACGCATTATTAACTTTCTGATCACGCCAAAGTCTTGGGCAAAAAAAGTGGCTTGTCACGAAAGTTACCATGTTTCAAGTTGGCTCGTCCCTGCCCTTTACGAGGAGTGCTTTGTTAGCTTTAGAGCAGAAGCGGACATTGGTGGAAAATCACCAGTGTCACAATTTCTGCATTGGCTTGACTTTGGCGGAGCACGGCTTGGGTGCAGCTCAGGGCAAAAGGCTCTTATAGCCAGCAGCAAGCAAAATGGAAGAGCAGACTTTGGCTCTGACCGGGGAACGAAGGCATGTCCACTGTGGATGCCGTTCAGCTTGACTTTCTTAGTGAGTCAGTGCACCTTAGATTTCACTTGTGCTGTCGCGCAGCCAGAGGAGGCGGTTGGTCTTGAGTCTAGATCTGCTGGAGTACCTGAGCTAAACATCCTGCAGATTCTTTTGTTCTTCAACGCAGGCATATGCACTGCTCTGCATTTTCAACCAAACGTCAGGCGGCGTACTGGTTTGCCTCTCCCTATTGCCTTGTAGGCTCCCTTTCCTTTCTTGAGGGGCCCCGTTTCATAGCTCCGAGCAAGGTGCGACTTGTTGGGCAAGGCCGGGGCTCTTGGAGCCGGGGGGTGAGGACATCGTTACATGTGTGTTTTGTTTTCGTCAAGAGGTGGGCGCAAGTTTGCTGAAGCGGCTGTTGCCAAAGGCAGAAGGCATTAGCTTGCCGCGGTTTCGGCGGTTGCGCTTTTGTAACTCTTCTTTTCATTTTTGCGGTATGAGTCACCGGACGTCGTGGAGGGCCCTTTACCAAGTTTTGTGTTTGGACATAACCTCTTACAAATCCCTGTGATTTGATTGAATCAATTGCTAACACATTTGTCACAAAGGGTCGCAGATGGGGTCCCCACTGAGCCAGGAAAGGAGCTGGCTGCTCAAACATGTCCCTGCAATGAAGGCCTTCGGCAGGGCCTCAGGGCCTCTGTTTTTTTTTTGGTCCAAAGCATCCGCCGGCCGCAGGCCTGCGTCAACTGCTTTGCGCTGACAGCGCTGCTGTTTCTGGGCCCCCTGGCTGCTTGCCCGCAAGGTCTCTCTCTGGATGTAATGCTGCCTGGCCGTTTGCGGGCTGTGTCGAAATGAGTTCTGACTGTTTGACTGAACATTTGCCAGGTAAGAGGTGCTGACGGTGTGTTTACAAGGTTGAAGCAAACTGAAATGCCAATGCAGCAGCTCTTGGACTGTTCAAAGCTTCAGGCCGCAAAGTACTTCGTACCAGTCCACCAAGTTGCAAGGCCCATGTCGACTGAGGTTTTATGACATTCTCTCATGGGTCGTAGATTCGACTTCAACAATATGAGGAAACCGGGCACAGAATGTTTTCAGGGGGCACGGTGCTTGATGAACAGAATGGATCAAGTTGCAACGGCCAACGCAAAACTTTTCCCAGTTCAAGCTTTTTTTTCAGGATTAAAGCGTGTCAACACGTTCCCTTGGGCGTATCCGGGCTCTGGGGTAGAAGCATCCGCATGCTTGCCGCGCCGAAGGTGCAACACCTCTTGGTGGTGCTGAAAGGCGTGCAAAGAGACTGCCGTGCCATGCGGGCCAAGATTTCCTTAGCAAGTGTTGGGTGGTCATTTATTCGAGAAAAGGGAGAGTTTCTTGTGGGCATTTATGGAGCAAGATATATAAAGCTCTTGTTTTTGAGCAAGGTTGAAACCTTGCAGACAGGCCTCATTTCTCTTGCAGGTTGTCCCGTGCTTGTTTGTTGCTGGGATTGCCCCTGATGGCTGCTATTTCATGCGCAAGGATCTTGACTGTGGCTCATAATTGCTGCTCAAGGTTTGGCTTGTTGACGATCTTGTTTCGAATCCTTTTCTCAGCCTGGAGCAACGCCTGGACAGGAGGTTATTGGCAATTTAATGTTACTGCAACGGAGAAGCGGTTAAGTGTTCCCACCTTGGCTGATGCGGGAGAGCTAGTTCCACAATCCATAGTTACGTTGGCACAAATTTCGCATCACCGTTCACAAGAATAGCTGCAAATTAAGGATTTGGGCCATCGATTGTATGACTCCCCTGGCATGAGGAACTGTCGGCCCCCTGTCCGTTTCCCTCACACGCATCCAACCTGCGCGTTGGCAGGTTACGACAAGCTCTTCCTTGCCAACGGCCTAGGCGGGCTGCCTATTGTCAGCAAGACAAACAGCCATGCCCTGTGCCTGCTTTGATCCGGTTTCTCTCCGGATGAAGGTCCATCCCAAACATTCAGCAATCCTGGTTAAAAACTTTAATGCACGCGTGTGCATGCAAAAAGGCACGCGTGAAAATGTTTACATTTCTGTTTATGTTCACAGTTCCGGTGCAAGCAATTGTGTTTGGTGCAAGAGTAGACAAGTGGGCAAGCGGTCAACTGTTGTTGTGGGACTTTTTCGCGCACATTGGCAAACTGGCTTCACGCATGTCATGGGGAATCCTTGTTTTTGGCTCCCTACTTCGTCAAGGAGGGATGAAGAAGGTTTTGGCTCCACAGCTCTGTTAATTTGTGGACGCAGCAACCGTAAGGTCTTTTAGTCAAGGCGTTGAGGTCGACCGCGACCTTTTAGTCAAGGCTTGGAAAGACGGTAGGATGGAAAGCTACTCGGAATTCGCCCTGAGGCCAACGCGTTCTCTCCAAAGCCGCGAGGTTTCTGGGTCATCACGCGGAACCTGGTGCTGGCGCCGATCACAGAGGAGAGCCTCAGCTACAGGTAATAGTCGAAGTTCCCCGCGAGGCGAACACCTTGGTTGCAGTGAGGTCATTTAATCAAGTGCAAGCAAGGTCACAGAAGGAGCTCCAACCTACTTGTGTGGAGAGGTGAAGACATACGTATATATATGTATAATATATATATATATATATATACTCATGTATGTTGTACATTTTGCAAATAACACTGACTCCTTGAATTCGACATTCGTCACGGAGCTGTCCTGCACTGTCTAGTATGTGCATATCTCCACTCCGTTGCCGCATTGCCTGGCAACGTTTGGCATGATGAACGTTAGAAACAACATCTTGTAAGTGTACCATGGGTTCTGTGCATCTTGGCGCTCCAGGAGTTTGTTTTCCGCGGCTGCCTGGTGCGTCTGTGGGTCCTGCACCAAGCAAATCTGACGAGGGTGGGGGATATCAGTCTAAAAGATCTTGCAGCCTCTTTCCCTCCACCCCGAGCAAACATCCCTTGCTGGTTTTTGGGGTGTGATGCTGGCTCAAGGAGACATGATGGGCGTGAGCGGCTGGTTCTGACATATGCAAAATCAGTCTTTGTTCTGACTCTCCGTTTTTCGAGCCAATTGAACTGCTCCTACATGTTTTACACAACCGTTGTTTAAAGGCACCGGATCCGCTGAAAAAGGGCCTGTCATTGCTCGGCCTGCCCTAACTCCGGCAGCCTCTATCGGGCGGGGTCCACGTGTGCAGCTTCTGCCTAGCTGCACCTTTTGCCGCACGGAAGGTTTCGGCCGGCCTGCCACTGATGGCCACGATCTTCTGCAGCCCCTTCTGCTTTGCGGGGGTGCCGAGCCGTCTTCCACGAACATGGCAGCCAGAAGCACCCACATATCAATCCTTAAGCCGGACATGCAAAAAAAGAAGGGTCACCAAAGGCAACTTTTGTGAAGATCATGTTGTCCCATCAGGGCATTGCCCGTTCCACCCTCACATAAGAAGTTGGCAACTTTTCCATTGAGATCCTTTTGGGGCCGAGAGGCTCGTTACAAATCGATGCAGTGCCGGGACTGCGGCGTGAGGCGCGTTCCAGCTTCATAGATCTGCGTGGCCTGTCGCCGCCATTTCATGCAGGCAGTTTGAAACCGGGCTTACAGCGGCTTACACTAAAAAAACTTGTCAGGCAAATCAGCCCCCACTCAAACATTCGTTTTAGACTGATGAGTTCCGCAACATGCCAGAGACCGGGCCCTTTTACAAGCGCCGAGGCCCTTGCCCACGCGCACCACTTTGTGGAACACGTGCGGAGGATTCTTGACTCCTTTGGGTTTGAGGCGTTTGTTTGCATGCGCTGAAGCATAGTCAGCCATAATTTCAGATGTGCCACACCCAACGTGTGGTTTTCCGTGCACACTCTGCTGCTGACTCAACTGTTGCAGATGTCTGGCTGACATGAGACCGTGGCGCAGGACGAGGAGCAAGAAGCAGGCTTTGGCGCAGGCAGCATGGGGAGAATCCGAGGTCATTCAGCAGCTTTCCAGCCCCAGCAGAGGTGGTACTCGAGGCTCTCTGCTTTCTAGTCCCTGCAAACAATGTCAAGAGGCGAGGCAAGGCAGGCTTTGGAGGTGTCTGTGTTTTCGGGGCTTGGGGGCCGGAATTCGAAAGACCCTTTTGATAATGGTATTTTTGAAGTGAGAAACGACTAGCCTTTCTTGAGTGAGTCCACTGGAAGGATGCCTTGCGTGTGGTCATGAGGGTCCATCTCACCATGCAAAAGCTGCAAACACCACGGAGGTCAGTGAGCCCTCCGAACACGTGTCCGGCGTACTTGATGCACCAATTTCACCAATTTCAGTGGGAAATTCCAATTTCTCCGGCGCAACGTCAGCTCCAGGTGCTCTTCCAAGCCAAGGCCTCAATGGGATGGAGCACGAGTCTCTGGGATGACACGTTCCGAAATTGCGCCGGAGAGGTCCTCGTGAGATCTGAATATCTTCCGCCATGCCAAGGGGACGCAGTATGCACTGCAAAGTACTTCGAACAAGGGCTGTTGAAAGTCTAAATGCGAAACGGGGCATGTGGAGGAAGCGAATCAAAAGGCCAATCTGCCCCATCCGCACCCACGATTCACATCCAAGATTCAAGTCCGCACTGATCCAAGGAATGAACACCCAGAGGCTCCCTTTTGGTCGACGCATGATGTTTGTTCGAGGCCACCGGAAGGCTGGGGTTACCAATCACCTGGCTGCCTTCCTGCCATAGATCAAGCAGCATGTCATTTCTGCGGAAACTTTGCATGAAGTGTGAAAGCAGTAGCGGCGTGATCCCGGAAGGGCAAATATGTAATCCATTGCCATTCGACGCTTAACGCACTGTGTGAGACACACACACACACACACCACCTAGTTTGGTCATTTGGAAGTGATGCGCCTTATCTCTCCCTTGTTACGGTTATCTCTCCAGCTGGAAGCATCAGGATGCAACCTTCATTCACCCGGTAGAGAGGAAAGGAAGAATCTCACGCAATGGGCGAAAGTGATGTTCATAGTGACCCAGCGTATGAACGAAGACAGGTCACCTATCATTCCTTCCCTTTATCCTTTGATTCTTACCTTATCTTATCTCATTCCTCTTTTTCCTACTCCATACCTTCCACTCTGGTAGAGCATTGGGCTCAGCCACTTTTGATGATACTTCCCAGATTTGGGCTATGAACTGACCAAGTAGCCTCCTTGCTCGAGTGCATGGCTCCTGCGATGCTATGGCCCGAGGTTTTTTACACCTCGCTCTTCGGAATGTACTCGAACTTTCTGCTGATCCGGAGAGATTTGAGTGAAGGGCGGCCAAAGCATGAAGGGGGCAATTTGCATCTTGGCCAAGGGGCCGATGTTAATGAACTTTGATACATCTCAAATGTTGATGGCCCATAGTAGCTCTTTGGATGGTCCTTGTCCGAAACCACACATGCAACTCGAACTGTTCCCTTTTGCAGGGTGTCTTAGTTCTCAGCATATCTTGCCTTACATGTTTTGCCTTGTTCGGAAAATACATGCGGACCATTTCCTTTTGACAAGGCATTCTCCATTCGAGCCATTGCTGGTTTCCCTTGGATCAAATGACACTGGCAAAGGATTCCAAGCAAAGGCGAAGAAGACTTTCTGGAGGTATTGCCATTCTGGCTGGACGTCGCGTCCTGACCTGTTGGCACCGCTAGCTTTCATCAGATTGATTTGCCTTTGAGGAATATGTATGTGTATATATATATATACAATATCAATGTGCGCCACGGGCAAGTCTGCTTGACAGTGGTGAGGAGGGACCGTCATCAGTCCTCCATCGCAGCCTTAAACAACTGCATGATTCCTGTTGAGGGAACCGCGCCATGTTGCATGTAAAAGGTTTTGACGCTATGGAAGCCGTCCTTGACAGGATGTACCTGGCAGCCAGTCTGACTTGTTGCAGGCTTATTGTTTAAGCTTTCACTGACAGCAACATGCATACCGTTGAAAAAGATGAGCCATCACTGCCTTTGCCTGTGCAGATGCACACGGGCGCAGTCAATCAGTTGGAAGCAACACGTGGTCATTGCCGCCCCTGCAATTTTGTGCCAAGCTTCACCACTTGCCCTTTGAATCTTTCTCCTGGCAGACTCTTGGTTGCAACGGAAACAAAGGAAGATTTCTCGGCTGTGGCATTCTTGGTACATTTGGGACTACCATTTTTGGGTTGCTTGAATCAAGGCAAACCAAACGAATACCAGATGCTTGGTACTTACCCGGATCAGACGCCCAGATTGTGTGAGGACCGGCTCCCTGCTCGCCGTAATCCTAGCGCACGCCTTCTGCAACCACCAGGCGCGAATTTTGCTTTGAATCGAAGGACTTGGGAAGATGGTTGGCAAGGGAGAAGGATGGCAGTGGGCAGAAGTCTAGAGGGGAAGGATGGAGGAATAAGAAGGGCTTTGGGAAGAGGGGTCAAAATGGAGGAAACCCTACTTCCACGTACGTGCAGAGGTCAAAGCAGAAACAAAGGGGGGGCAGCTTGTGCAACTTTCTGGGATTTGGCTCTTATTGCCGGGTTTGCTTTGACCATAGTTGTTGGTCTGGATCGTTGGTTTGGGGATGAACCCCAATACCTTTTGAAACCAAACCAACAATTGGGGGTAAGTGCATCGTATCAAATATAAATCCTTTGCTTTTCTCCATGGCCGGTGTTGGGTCCCAATACGTCACCAGTGGTTTTCGGTCTCAGGGCTTCCCGGACGTGGGCTTCTTCGTCTCCAGCAGCGAGCCGCTGTACGAGCCCTTGCCCAAGCTGGTTACAGCAGTCCTTTCTTGGGGATCTCCCCTTCCGAAAACAAGCAAAACGTGGGTTTTCCTTTCAGAGTCGGTCATGGGGCACACCTCCAGGCACCATGGCCGGCCGCTCTCCAGACTTTTGGTTGTCCTTTGAAGCCGCAAAACGAGGGGTACCTGAACATAGACATGGCTTGCAGCTCGGCTCCACACATTTCGGCCTGGAGTTGTCTCCAGTAGAATTGGATGGTTAAAGCTCTGTTCACATGAACAGATATTTCGGCGGTCTTTCTATGGGACCAGGGACCCGTGACAAGCATGCCTGTGGATTCCATTCAAGAGACTTATCGTGAGCCGCCACACGTATGTTAAGGTATTGATCAGTCGCTGGCTTGGCACAAGAGCCTCACTCATACAAACAATTCTCTGAAGCTTATCTCGGGGCCGCGGTTGCTTTCCGATTGGAGGCGAGACTACCCAAGGATTATGTGCTTCAAGAGTCCTCCCCAAGACATGTCTTATTCCAAAGACAAACGCCACACTTTGTTCACGACCATGTTGCAAGCATGGCCCCGGCTCGCATTTTCTCCCGTTAGCTTGCTTCATTTTGGAGGTGCCATGCTCCTGCTTGTACAAGCTTGTGTAGCAAGGGGACAAGCTGCAAGCTTGATTCCCAAGCTTGATCAGATCTATCACATGTGTATGTGCCTGCGTGTGATCTCCCGAATATCGTCTGTCAGCTCGGTGGGAAGTGCGCCGCTCGAGGCATCGGAAGCTGATGGGCGCCATCTATTTGCTTGGGAGCGCACGTCCAGGGAGGGGAGCTGGTTTGGGTAGATGGTTGTTCCGACAACTGCTTCTGAGGCGATTCCCCACCACAAACACGTCGTTTTTTTGGGCCCCAAGGCCACGTGAGGTTGTAGGTCTGGATTTCTGAATCATTTCCGGAGAGTTGCAGGGGGGTCATCAGCCGTTTGCTGCCAGTTGGCTTAGACAGGGTGAGGTTGTTTTTCCCAGCTCAGCCTTTGCGAACCAAAGCGGCTGGGGAAAGATTCTTGTCCCACTTCCCGGAATGAATTTGCATAGCCGAGGTGCTGTTGGGGAAGGAGAAAGTGAGGTTTTGCTGCTTGAACGTTGGGGACTTGGCCGGGCAAGGTTTGTGAGCAAACAGGCTGGCGCTTATGACAATATTTTTCCTAAATGGGTTTTGAGGATACCCTTGTTGTTAGAGTTTTAAAACAAATCCGAAAGGACAACCACCTTTTTTTGGGGTCCCCTTGAAAAGGACGCACCCAAATGTGGGCCCGTCGACGCTTGCTCGTTGTTTCTTCCAGCAGGATCGTGGGCTTCGCTTGCTCTGCTGGCCCGATGCAGCGTGGCAGAGGGGCGAGAACGGGGACAAGAGGATACGGCACTTCAATTTTCTTAACAGGTGGTCTGCGCCAAATGAGCAAGAGTCAAAACCAATTGGTTTTCTGTGGTTCCAAAACCCGGGGACTAAATTTCCCACGTCCTCTTGAAAACACACGCTTTTGACCGTAGCTCACATGGTGGGCAGCGTGGCAAGCCGCCGTTGGGGTGAAGGCCAAACCTTGGTCCACCCGCGAGACGGACCTTCACTCCTTTCGCTAAGCTACCGGAGCTAATTTCGCCGGCCGGCGGGTACAATAAGACCCATGAAAATGGCAAAGAAAGTGCCTTAGTAACGAGAGTCCACTTCATGCAATGTAAGGGATTGCGCGCATCAACTTCACAGAGTCGTTGTTAGGAGCCACCTAGCTCATCAGTTGGGAGACTGGCCGAGACCACTTTGGTAGGAACTTCTTGGTCTTTCCAATGCACCCAGGACAGCTGGCTTCCCTTCCACCTTCAAGCCATGAGAGCAAGTGGGCTGGAAGGCAATCCAGGGATGGATTGGTTGTCCAGGTGCACAGGTGGAACAGATTGCCATGTCAAAAGCATGGATGTGTACATAAAAAGTCATACAGATGCAGCGCTTTGGGTTGATGTACCCATATCGATGGCGACCATAAGCGCTTCACAGGTGTGTTGCTGTAATTCGCCGCCGCAACTCATGTTGATTGTGGCACAGTGGCGTATTTCGATGTCAACGGTGTATGCAATATTTACTGATTGTTATTGCCAGGCGGCATTTCACAGCTTGTGCTGCTTGTTTATATTGTTTCAACATGCACTTAAGTATCTGGTTTCAAGGCTTTTTTTGTTTGTCATGTCACATGTTTAAGCACTCCTGGAACACAGAGCATTGCTTGATTCTCCTTTGGATTCTGAACGGGGTCCGACCATAGAGTTTGAGCGCATCAATTGTGAGGTGTAGCTTTCTGGTAACATGAAATGCCATTTTTCATCTAACCTAGGGATTGCTTTGATTTTTTTGGACAGCCATCCTTCCCTGTGCCCGGAAGCGGGAATTCGGAATGCGCCGGCTTAGACTCCTGTGGAGGGGCGCTGGAAACCGCCTCCGGGCACGTGACCATTTGGCGCAAGGGGCCCTCAGCAAAGGCCAGGCGAAGCATGGGACAATCAGTGGTTTACTAGATAAGCAAGCAGAATGGATCCAATCAGTGGTAGACCAGCTTATTTTGGACTGACTTTTATGGTTTCACTTTGGATTTTTGCGTGTTGTGCGCTTCAGAAACGGTCGCAATTCAGCATCCCCGAAATTACGTCGGACACTTGTGGCGCATAGGTCGTTTGTGCAGGCAGAAAAGGAGGCCCGCACTTCCATCATTTGGTGACTTGATCTCCAACTGCGCAGAGTCAATCGGGGGCTTGAGTCAAGGTCTCTACTTCTACAAACCTTCACTGATCCAAGAAGGAAGTGCTCCTGTGAAGGTGAGCGTGAGAGGGCCCCAAGAAGAGTCTTCCCATCTTGTGTGCGGGACATGTAAAAGCTGGGCCGGCACGGGGTAGGATGTTAACTCACAACAGCCGCTGCAAGCAACACAAGAAATCTGATGCGCGCCGCTGTCAGAATATGCCGGTATGCCATGACAACTGTTATTCGACAAAAGATCTCTCACCATGCCCGACATGTTGATATGCTAGACGCCAAGCAAATGCAAGAGCCACAGATTGACTGGTAATTTCTGTTCAACGAGCATACGAGCCAGATGTCTAGTTCAACAGACACGAATGAGAAGAGTACATGCATGGAGCACGTCAGTTTCATTTTGGCTTTGTGGCTTCACGCGGCATGAACAGTCTGGACAAAGTTGCCAGAACAGCCCTGGCTGTGGATCGCACGCGTGCGACCTTTTTGAGGTGCGCTGATTTCTTTTCAGGAGAACGTAGAGTGGGAGATGGGAGAGACACGAACAAGATGACTCTGAGACAGGTGCTTGTGACTTCCTCCAGAGTTGCAAAGTTCTTGGATTGTTCTTTCTTGCTGATCTCCGAAAGCATCTTGGGAGGGGACGGCCCGGTCAGTCTGGAGATGGGACATGTTTGGGAAGACTGAACGAGAGCTCATGTGCTCATTTCGTGGATTGCCCTCCGCTAAAGACTCTCTCTCTGAAGAACATCCTTATTTTCCGAGCGACCATTGTTCAAGCGGCATTCTAGACAAACGTGATGGTCGTTGTCCCATCTTCTGCCTGTCATTTAGCGGTTGGGGAAGGCAGTCAGAGTCCCTGTCTTGAGGAAGGGAACGCAAATAGAATACATCGGCGTTCACCCACTTAGAGAGACATCCATGAGAAATTGGTGTTATTTTCTCTTTGCCTTCTTGCAGTGCCTATCTTGTGCTTGCTTCGGCCTGGGTTGGCACCAAAGATGAGTCGGTCAGAATGTGACCATACCAAGCGTGCTTTGTCCTCAAGGCAGCGGAAGCTGTTTGCTTACTGGTACCACTTTCCTTGTTTAGCTGCGATATTATTCTTGCCCTCTCGTTTCCCTCATTTTGGTGCATTTGGTAGTTGCGGCTTTCTACCATCCCATTGAGTCATGAGTCCCTGTCCTCCAGGATAAAGACCCAGTGGACAGGTGGAGTTGTTTTCGCCTGTTTGGTTTGCCACATAGCTGTGTTTTCCACTTGCATCCCTTATTTTTGCCGCAATCAAAGTCCGTGGCGATTGCCACTGGAAGCTGAGTGCCATGAGCAAAAGCCAAGTGAGAACACAGAGAACAAAACACCTCGAACTTGGCTTTGCATGAAATTCTGATTGATAACCTGGCATGCACGCAATTATCTTTTTCGCCCTCACTCCCAACCCCTTCGAACGGAGAAATGCCCTTCTCTGCGCAGTTTGTTGCTTGCGCCTGCAAGGCCTCTGCACGCCGATGTGCGTGGCAGGGTGGAGGTGGACGAACCCCGGCGGCTGCTGAAGACTGTGGGGAGCTTCAAGGCGAGACGCCGGGGACGGGTGTGGACGGAGGATGGCGCAGGAAAAGCACACAGGCTCCGTTTTTTCTTGGCGATGGATGCGTGCTGCACAAGTGCCCGGAGAATGGATGCTGAGGCTGGATGGTTCAACACGTGTTTCTGTGACATCTCATTTTTCTCGCAACAGCTGAATGTAGACCGAACCCATTGCATAGCACATACAGACGCGAGTGAGGGCCTCCGCGAGGGAGGGCTGGGTCTGGTTCGAGGACTCCGAGATAAACATGGTCCTGGAGGCGGTCGGGGCTTTGGCCCGGGGCTGAGCATCAGATCCAGTTGCGGAGGCCGGGAAGTCCGAGGAGCGGAGGATTTCCACCGTGATGGGAACCAGGGAGTCATGAATTTGACCCATACACGCGGGGGGAATCACAATCCACACACACACACACAAAGGCTTTCGTCCTACTTTTGTCCTCTCAGGTTGGCACCACACCCAGGGTTGGCTGCCGGAACTTCAACACGTGGGCATATCAGTTATGTATGACTTTGAGAACAGCCGCTCCCGGTTGAAGCAAGACTCCCCCCTGTGCGAGTAGTCCATAAGCTATCTCCCGCCATGTGGTAAAGGGAAACCAACAGGACACTCAGTGGTTTTTAGGGGGTCCAAATCCAAATTTCGACCGTTATGGCGTTTTGTTTGGTTTCGAGGACGGGGACGTCGTCCTCCAGGATCTTCTGGACTGGATGCAAAAGGACTCCTCTGTGCTGGCAAGGAAGGTGAAGGCGGGGGAGCAGAATGGCACAGACTTCTGGCTTGTTGGGAGCTCCGTAGTGCTCAAGGTTCACGTTGCGGGTGTTGGGGACCTGGAAGCGTTACCAGTCGCCCGATGATCGATCCCTTCACGATCCCTAAGCACGACCCTCACCGCCGGGTTACGTGACCTCACCAGCAGGAAAACTCACCTTCAGAGGGTGTTGTTTTTTCATACTCTCAGTTTTTGAATTCAGCACAGCATACGAAAAAACCCGACTTAGCCACTTCTCGGCGTCCCTAAACGATTCAGCAGGTGTTCTCCTGGGTCCGTTCCATTCTTGTTGGATCCGAGAGTGGATGCTGCTTAAGTGGGCCGAATGCACTGGTTGGTCCACATTCCAGGACAGGAAGTGACGCGTTTCATATGCAGCTACTGGCTCCAGCATGGCTCGTGAGATGACATATGCCCGGCAAAAGAGGCACCAGACAATGTCGTGCCCTTGACAGTTAACATAGTTTGATATTCGTTGGATTTGAGCAGGGAGCCCCTTGTTTCAAGGGCCAAGCAATCCTTGAACACCTATTCCTGTTACAAGTTGCCAAGTTGCCAATGAAGGCAGCTCTTGCAGCAGGAAGACAAACACTCAGAAAGCCAAGGCAAGCGGACTATGCCCTCAAGAGAGCACTCCTTCCGAAACCTGACGACTTCTAGAGTCTACTGCGATCGATCGCATGCTAGCCCATGTGGCGCGTGGTCCCTGTGCCGATCGGGCCGATCTGTCCCGATTTGGGCAACGTCTCCCGACCTCAGCGGCCAGAGCGCATCGTTGGTCACCGGCGGCTTTTGCAGCGCTGTTTGCTCTGCCGAGGCCAGGCGTGTTGGGGTTGGGGAAGGGCGGGGTGGAGGGGTCCGGGTTGGGGAAGTTGTAATTGATATCTCATAAGATCTGTCAACTGCCAGAGAACATTAGGGTGAGTTGTTGCCGGTCGTCAGAGCAAACTGGAGAAGTCTTACTGTAGCATCTTGGCGTTGGCGCCATAGTGTTTGCAAACGGCCTTGTGGAACGTCAAAAGTGTTTTGGTGTTTGCAAGCTTGCATTTGGGTGGGTGTTTGCTTTCAAAAAGTAGAGGAATGCAATTGTATTGGCTACACACTGTTTGCCTTCCCCTCTACTGTGCTTTGCTGGTGTACCTTGGCGCAAGGAGCCTTAGGGTAGCCCTTGCAAAGGCATGTATCCAATTCAGGTTTTTCCCTCTTTGGACATGCAAGTTTTGTTTGTTTCATCCTGCTGTATTCCTTCAGCTTCTTTCGGCCAATGTGCTTCCTCCATCACGAAAGAGACTGCAAACTCAACTCCATCTGATTTGTCTGTCATTTCTCCTGGTGCCTGGTGCTCCGACGTGTTCCATGAATTGGTTTGGTTCTTGTCTTCGGTTTTGGCTCTGGTTTCCCACTTCGCTTTCGGCGAGGCTCGCGCCTCGCGCAAGCCGCCCGCGCGTCGCGCCTCGCCGGGCCGTGGTCCAGGACGCGCATGCGGCGGCAGTGGGGCGCTGGGTGCCCTGGCAAGATGCCCCTTCCCAGGGTCGGTTTTTCGCGAAGAACCCAAGTGGACACCCCAAATGCATGTTGGGGCCCGCTGCAAATCCCGAGGTTCACCACATGCCCAAGTTTGGCTTTGTGCCATGCAGCCCACGGGTGACACGCAAAAGCAAAACAAAACCCGAAAAGGGCCTCAAAAGGAGACACTGCCTGAGCCTTAGGTGGAGGGGGTGATCCTTGGCCTGGAGGCACGAACCGCGTCACACGGGGGAATTGTCTGTCGTGGTGCCTCTTTTCCTCAGTTTTTTCAATCCGCAAGAAGTCCGCATGTGTGCCATTTGCTTTCACCCCAGACGGGGACAAATCACAAGGCGAGCTTGCTGAAACGAACCAGCCATGGAATGACCTGAACCCTTTAACAAGACACCGCGAATGTGGCAACTGCCAACTCACCAGACCAATGGCAACCAAGACACCGAGGCAAGCGACTTTTGAGGGGCCCAAAGCTTTGGGCCCGGTCTGCCCTTTTTTGCTCAGGTCTGCCCTTGGGCGCGGCCGGCACAGCAAGGAGGGCGTCTGCGGGTGGTCAGCAGCGAGGCCCAAAGTGCCGAGGAAGTGCTGGAAGACTTGGCCGCGGAGGCGTGGGCTGGGGGCCGATGGGGGTTGGTATGAGGTTGGAGGGAAGGTGGGGAGTTTGGTGGGGAGGTTGGCAGGGAGGTTAACGCGAAGGGTTTGTGAACGCTTTTGTTTCTTCTTTTTTTGTTCTCCTTTTAATTGGAATTACACGTAGACAGGTGGCATAGTCGGCTTGTTTTTGCCAGGACTTGTTTTGTTTGGTGAGCCCCCATTTGAGGGGCACGCGCGGCAGGACATGTGCTCTTGCTTGTGTGTCAGCTGCCCGTAGTCGATGGATTTTTGTTGGCCAGGCAGGCATGTCGATGTAGAAAATACCAACCTTTCCGTACCTTGCCTTGTGCCTCAATTGCGTCTTTGCTGATAGAAGTCAGCACGTTGAAGCTATCACTCTATCAATACCTGAACCAGGCTGGATTCATTCAAGACAGGGAAAACTTGATGTTGCCATCTGACTTTTGACTTCAACTTGGTCTTATCTGATGGGAGGAACTTCCCCATGAACTCATCACGACATGGAGCAGAAACCGCCATGTGGCGGGCTCCTCATGAGGCTCAAACAAGGCATCGTCAAAGCACTTGCTTGCTTGGAATGATTGAGCTCCGTATCCATCCCGCGAGGATTCTGCCAGCCATTTTAAAGCCATCCTTTCGGCCTATCAGTCTTCCGCCTCCGCTTTCGCCTCAGGCTGAACTGCTGCGAGAGGAGTCAGCCACCACCGTGCTGGTTTGCCCCCACGTCGCGGAATGGCAGGAGCGGCTTTGGTCGGAACAGTCCGATGGCTTGAAACTCAGTGAGGGCCGGGGGCAAATGACGGTCTTTGAGTCTTTGAACGGAATTCCTCCTCATCCTTACCGTCGGATGGATGGCCCCGGCCTATCCCGGCCTGCTGATTCTTTGCGAGGCACCGGGGAACGGACGCACTGATTCATGCTGCCAGCACTCGGGGGAACCCCACAACAGGCGCTTCCACAGTTTTCGGGAAACCTTTGTGGGGTCTGCGCCAGTCCCCGTGTTTTGTTACTTCTCCAAGTCCTGGCGGCACCCGGGCCAAAGAACGATCCCTCGACGCGAGGACTTCGGGGCCTTCCATCGCTTCTACTGCGAGGAGCTGCAGAGCGGGCGGCTGCTGTCGCGGAGCCTGGGCCTGGAGGCGGGGCGGCTCCGCGGTCCGTGGTCCGCGTTTCGAGCCCCGCGGTTTCTGCGGTGTCCTTGGGGTCCGATCCGCAGATCCAGGGGTAAAACCCAGCATTTTGATATTGTGGTCAATGGTAAATATGGCAACTGCTGATGACAGTGAAAGGTGCTCGGGATGTCAGTGAATTAAACAAAAAAACATAGGCCACCTGCAAGGGCCTCAAATCGACTTGAGGTCTTCGTCGTGCCGTTCCACCCCGACTGCACGGGTCTTAGCAAAGGGCTGGGTGGGATGGAGGTGTGGGATTTTGGTTTGTTTCTTGCCACGAGTTCTTTGCAGAGGAGTTTTAGTCTCCAGATTTTTATCTATTTTTTAAGATAAGCATATTGGCATATTTTGTTTTCGTTCATTATCCTCTGCATTGATTGACCTGGCCCTTGTTGCCAGGGTGTCGGACTCTGCCCGACGTTCTGTAGTGGGAGGGAGGCTGGTCCTCTTGATGCCCAACATAGATAGGAGCGACAATGACTTGTTTCTTTAAACATAAGACCACAACATGCTACTTTCTTAGTCATTGGCTCCAGAAGTTTACCTTTTTACTTCTTTTTGTTTTTTGCGTAGGACAGGTTTGGGGTGTGGGGTTAGGGTTTAGGGTGAATTAACTCTTTGGAATCGGACTTATTTGTCATAGAGTTTGTTTAAAAGGAATTTCATTTGACAAATATGTTGCTGTTCAAATATTTTTTATTTAGTAGATATTTTAGTTTTACGGATAATTTTAAATCGTATCTCCTGTTCAACTAATATTTTTAACTTGAAAGTTTTCTTCAAACTAAAATTTGAAGAGGGTCTCTTTTTCTATTTCTCAATTTTTGAACATAATCTAGATGGAACTTGATAGGGACATAATGCTTGTAGGATGTCTAGTTCAAATAACTCTAATGCTTATTTGAAAGTAGATTTAAACCGTTTCTTATTTTAATATTGTATCGGAATTTGATACAGTTTAAAAGGAATCATATAGTATAATTTTTATTTTCAACGAGAATTGAAGTCGACCTTCTTTTTCAAAGAAGCAACTAGTTGGATTTTTATGTCAAAGTAAACATTAAACAAACAATTTGCTTGGGATGAGCTGATGCTGGTGAAGTCGCAAGGGGCAATCCAAACAAAACTACTGCATTCCATCTCCAACTTAGCCTTCAAACCGCCCAAAGGTGGATTTACTGAGGGGTGGCACACACAGACAGAAATACATACATATGTTACACGTAATATGATATATATATATATATATATATAAATGCCCTCCCATGATCCACGTTTGGGTCTGCATTATCAAGATTTAAAGGGACATTGTATGTAGCATCTAGTTGAAACTAGAAATCCTACTAGGTTTGCTTCCTTGTGACACTCTAATTAAGATCTTCTCAAATTCCTCCTGTGAAAGGACATGCACTCGAATTTCTACTTTCACATAAGAATTTGAATTAACGTCTAATCAAATTTCTATTTACAATGGAGATTCTATTTAAACTCTCATTGACGCTAGAAGTTATACTAGACTTAATTCCTAATGTACTTCTATTCAAATTCAGACTAGAACCACGGACGGCGCGACCCCAGAATGTTTTTTGAAGCAGACAGCATGCTTGTGAGTTGTAGCTACGAGAGGCTCCTTGTGCAAGTTTCTCTGTGCCAGTTCTGTGTGCAAGTTCTGTGCGCTAGTAGGCTTTGCGCAAGTTCACTCTTCAAGTTCAGTTTCTATGCCTTCTATTGGCTCAAGTTTATCTGCCCAAGTTTCTCTGCGCAAGTTCTCGATGCAAGCTCTGTGCGAGCTCTTTGTGCAAGCAAACACATCGAGTTTTTGAATCTCAAGCAAGCCGATGCGTGCGAGCCGCAAACTGTAGCAAAGCCCTTGAGTTTTTGAACCTCAACCATGTCGATCAACGCAGAGGGTCGCGCGCGCCACAAACAGTAGCAACCACGTCGAGTGTTTGAACCTCAACCACGCCGATCCACGCAGAGCGTCGCGCGAGCCGCAAACAGTAGCAAAACCCTCGAGTTTTTGAACCTGATGCCGATGCACGCAGAAGGCCGCGCGCAAACTGCAGAAAGTAGCAAAAACCCAAAGTTTTTGAGCCACGCCGCACAAAGTAGCAAAACAGGCGGAGCCTGCCCTACTGACTCTGCCTGGGAAGCGCCTGGAAGAGCGCTGGGGTGGGGGGGGTGTTGATCGCCGGAAGTTGGCTGGTCAACTTTGCGTGCCCTTTAATATTCCGCGGGGCTTTTTGACATGCCCGTCTCCTTGCCCTTAAAAAAAAGAGGCAGACGCTGAAGAAAAGAAGTAAGCCCAAAGGGGTGGGGGCAGCGATGAGGCTTTCATGTTTGGCAAGGCTGTAGTGCAGGGGCTTTTGTTTTGTCAGGGCTTGGTATATTTCCGTGCCTATCTTGTACTGCATGCTCGGATAGGAAGAGATCCCGCCTGCTCAGCCGAAACGCGTTGCCGCCGCCTTTAGAATATAATTTCGAGTCAGATGGTAATCGAAAACCAGCCCAAAACCTATAAAATGGAAATTCCATTTAAAACCTGATGAGACTCGAAATCCTACCAAAATTATTTTCAGATAAAGTGTCTATTTCACGTCTAACTATTATCTTATAAAACTCCCAAAAATCCTCTGGAAAGGAAGTCCACTTGAACATCCAACTTCAAGTAATAAATTGAGCTATAAGTTATTTAACATGGAATAATGAAGGAAATCCTACTTGAAACTTGCTTGAAACTAGACATCCAGAATTCAGGCCACGGGTGGCCCAAGACTTTTGGGTACCCTCTCAGCACTTTAGAGGCCTGAAGGAGCAAAATGCAGAGAGTTACCTTCTGCAAAATGAATCCAGTTCCCAAACGCAATCCGGTGTGCTCTTCGTCTGCTTCAATCTGTCCACAACATGTTTTTTGTTTTTGGTTAATAGGGTTTTGGCAGTCATAGACATATATATATATATATGTATGCTACCATTGATACATAGATATATCCCATTATGCACATATATATATATATATATATATATATACGCACATACATATACACATACACATGCACATACAAACACATAGCAAAATAGATAAGACACAGATGTATGCAATAAATGCTCCAATCCATCCATCCATCCATCCATCCATCCATCCATCCATCCATCCATCCATCCATCCATCCATCCATCCATCCATCCATCCATCCATCCATCCATCCATCCATCCATCCATCCATCCATCCATCCATCCATCCATCCATCCATCCATCCATCCATCCATCCATCCATCCATCCATCCATCCATCCATCCATCCATCCATCCATCCATCCATCCATCCATCCATCCA